CGCCCCGCCCCGCCCCGCCCCGCCGCCGCGCCTCAGCGTTCCACGTAAACAAACACCGCTATTCCCGTGGCTGCTGAGTAAACAAATGACGGGCGGCTGGCTGCGCCTCGGCCGCGCTGCTGCGCTCCGGACCAGCAGGCTGCCCCGCGGCTGCCGGGCCTTGCGGGGGAGTCCTTGGACGCTGGTATGGCATCTTGCGATGCGGAGCGAATGTCCTGATCCTGGCGGAACCCGGCTCAATGTGTGGAAAGGCGGAGCAGGTGGGACTGCTCTGTCTTGGCGCTTTGAGGCGCGCAAGCAGTAATAGGCTTCGGCCTTGCGAAGACCAGAGGTCTGCTGAGACCTCAGGTTACTGAGTGAAGTGATCCTGATGCAGCGTTGCGTTGTGTGTGTTGCAGCCTCAAGACGGGCGTGCCGCCGGGCCTCGACAAGAGGCAGGTGATCAAGGAGGTGCGGATGGCGCTCGAGGTCTGGGCCCGCCCCGCCAACCTGTCCTTCGCCGAGGACAACAAGAGCCCCGACATCGAGGTGCGCTTCGAGCGGTAAGTTTTTATTTCTATGTTTCTCGTGTCGCTGGCGCTGGCGCTTCAGACCATGAAAAATGGATCAGCTCTAAATGGTAATGCGAGTACAGTGTAGCGAGAGAGAGAGTGAGGGAGAGGACTCAATCTGACGGGGCGGTGGGTGCGGCCGGGAGAGCCGTGGTTAATGCAGAAGTCCTCGCCGCCTAGCCTGAGCCCTCTCCCCCTCGTCCTCTCCGAGAAAGCTGCAGCACCCGAGGCAGCAGCTCTTGCTCAAGCTCTGGCTGCTGCAGCACACACAAGTCCGACTGACCTCCGCTTTCTGGTCGCAGGGGTAACCACCACGACGGTTTTGACTTCGACGGGCGCGGGAACATCCTGGCCCACGCCTTCTACCCCGGCACGGGCCTCGGCGGCGACGTGCACCTAGACTGGGATGAGCGGTGGCTTGCGCAGACCAACAACCCTAGCAACGGTCGAGGTGGTAAGTACATGCAAACTTATTGCAGTCTCCCCGAGTCCGGCGGAGTCCTGGTAAACCGTGGAGTTGCTGAAATGCCAGCCGCCCCGTTTTGAGAGATGGGAAAACCAAAGGGACATCGATCTTGTCTCTTTGTCTCCCACTCTTACTCTTACGTGTGAGAAAGGAACACCTATCCCCCCCCCCCTACTCCCC